GTGATTGAAATTTCCTGTATAAATAATGTATTTCTAGACTTGTTGCTGCGAATAAAGCGAAAATCTTGCTATGGAAAAGGTTGTTACGGAATTGGATGCTATGGAATTCGTTGCTGTGGAAACAATTTCAATGAAGACTGCCTGGAAACAGTTGCAATAGAAATAGTTTTGAGATACATTTGCTATCGAAACACGCAGTTGCTATGGAAACAGTTCCTATAGAAACAGTTGCTATGAAACGGTGGCCATGAAAATGAACAGTTGCTATGGAAACAGTTGCGATGGATACAGTTAGGAAGGAAACAGGAAATACTTGCTTTGAAAAGTTACAATGGAAACAGTTGCTACAAAAACGGTTTCTATGGAAATGGTTGCTATGGATACGGTTACTATAAAATTATAATGTATTGGTAGAAACGGCTGCTATTGATACAAACAGCTACAATGAATACACTTTTTTATAAACTTCTTTTTGGGTATTTCGCCTCAAAAATGTTTGTCTTTAAAAAAGACAGAATTTCCTCACGTCTTTTATTACAGATTGATAAATAGTGCTCCTATTTCGCTGAGGCCCATTTTCATCAAGCGATCTTAAACCAGTTTAACGTCTGAAACTCAGTTTGACGCGCGAAACGGATTTCACCAGAACCTTAAACTCAGTTTGTGCTTAAACGCGTTTGAAGAAACGAACTGGCCGATTTTGGGCGTTTATAACTTTAAACGCTGTTTAAAGTGTGGCGAATCTGGACAACACTCATTCGCCCCAAAAGGTTGGCTGACGTTGGCAACCCTGCTGGATGCCAGGCATACCAATAGGCCGTGGTGAGAGCCACAACATAGCAGACATCTCTCTCGAAGGGACAACGCCCAAGAAGAGACGCTCAGCGTCCCCTCTCAACAGGGAGTCTCCTTTTGCACTTTCGCACGCGCACACCCCGCTTACTCTCTACTTATTGTTAATTTATTAAAAGTTGTTTATTTAAAGTGTGCTTTATTGTGTGACACAAGAAAGCCCACAAAAGACTTGATCTAACCTCACTGTGTAAAGAATTGTTGTTGTTGTTGTCGGTCGACCGAAAAATAATAAAATAGAAATGGCACGTAGGCCCGTTTATAACTTAATTTTCGAAGAAGTCTACGAATATTTTAATGTTACTTATGTACTTTGTCTGTCCTGTCTGTAATTGTGTCGTCGATAAGCCAACTTCTCGGTGGTTTGCGGTTTTATGTCACAGAATGCATGCAAATTTCTGCTTGAGATTTTAAGGGTTTCAGCACAACTACATCACATCCAATTGTACATGAGGTGAGCTCCGCGATAGAGCTGGTGTTTTGGGTTTTGTGAGATTCCAGCCAAGATGTTTACGCAGTAAAATCCTTCCTGACTCCTCCGCTTGCCTTGTTTATTTAATGAATTTTATAAGCGTCTGAAAGGGCGTCCGCAGGACGTAATTTTCTACTTGTTTAAGTAATTTTTCAAATAGAAAATCTAATAAACACGTGTATACCAATCAAAAGCCATACACGAATGCACAAACCGTGCATAAACAAAGCAAACTTTAAAATTTTACTGTTAGTTCGAGCAGAAAGTTTGGGTTTGATAACGGGTT